GGTACCGGAGATCGAACTCCGGTCCTTCCGCTTTCTAGGCAGGCCACCGAACTGCTGAGCTAAATCCCCGGCCCCTGACTGTCTCTTAGTGGAAGCAGAGCCAGGCAGGTCGCAGGCCAGGCCAGGCCCACACCCTAACCAGGGTGGGTGGGACCCAAGCTCTGGAGAAGCAGCTTTGTGTGAGGGGCCATGAGGCTCCCCATCAGGGCTGCCTGTGCAAGTAGTGGACTGGAAACACCTCTGCCAGCTGTTGGGGACTGGGAACACCACACAGTGGAATACTATGCAGCCCTTACCAGAAGGCCTGCCGGAGGAGAAAACAGTATTTGTAGTATCCACTTTTTTCTGTAAAAATCTAGACTTTGTGCCTAGCCCTTTGTAAAACTTGTGGTAAAAAGCCAGGGATGTATCTCAGTGGTGCCCTGCCTGCCAGGCAAGCACAAGGTCCTGAATTCAATGCCCAGTACCAAAAAAAAATTGTGATAAAATAGGCTAACAGATGCCAAAATGTACCATCCCAATATAGGGATAATCCGTCCACATTGTCCAGCCACCCCTGCCACCACCGCCACCCACCCCTGATCCTTTACCTCAGGGCACATCTGAAGCTCCACCCATTAACAGTGACCCCCTTCCCTTCTCCCAGCCCATGGGAACCACTGTTCTACTTCCTGTCTCCGTGCACCCAACTGTGCTGATGACAGATACTGGAGTCATACAGGATGTGTCGCTTGGTGACTGGCTCATTGCACTGAGCAGTGTGTCCTCGGGTTCATCCAGGTTGTAACATGTCAGAGGTCCTTCCTTATAAGAGGCTGGATAACAAACAGTCCACTGTAGGTGAACATCACTTTCTTTTTTCAGTACTGGGGATTGAAACCAGAACCTTCACACTGAGCTACATCCCCAGGCCTTTGTTTTGCAGCTGGGTCTTGCTTAATTGCTGAATTTCCCAGGTTGGGCTCCAACTTGTGATCTTCTTGCCTCAGCCTCCCAGAGTGCTGGGATCCAGGGCACATACCACCACACCCAGATATCCACATTGTTTTTAGCCATTCACCTAGCAGGCCCTGGGGTAGCTTCCAGGTTTAAAAGACTGTGAATAATGCTGCCGTGAGCATGGGTGTACAAATACTCCAAGACCCTGCTTTTCAGTTCTTTTGGATATATTCCCAGAAATGGAATTGCCAGATCATATGGTAATTCTATGTTTAATTCTTCAAGGAACCATGATACTACCACGTACTTTTTTTGTACTGCTTGAATTTTGAATCGTGTTGCACATACTTTCCTTCAAACATCTGAATGAATTGAAAACGTGATCCCGTTTCCCCTTCCCCTCACACTGACAAACCCTAAGAAAGACCACTTAGGGCCTGACTCCATTCATATGAAATATGGGGAATACGCAAAGCCCAGCGAGGACAGGAAGTAGAGTGGTTGCCCGGGGAGAGGGAGGAGGGAATGGGGAATGACTGCAGGCAGGTTTGGGGCTTCTCATTGAGGTGAGGTCTTGGAATTAAATAGTGAACATGATTGTGAATACAGTAGCCAGGTTTGGCAACACACCCAATGTAACCCCAGCTACCTGGGAGGCTGAGGCAAGAGGATGGCAAATTCAGGCCTAGCCTAGTCAGTTTAGCAACTTAGTGAGACCCTGTTTCGAAATTTAGAAGACAGGGGAGAGGCAGGCAGTTGTAGCTCAGTGTGAAGGCCCTGGGTTCCATCCCCAATACCATAAAAAGTAATTAGTTAATTGATTTAAAAAGGGCTAGGGATGTAGCTCAGTAGTAGAGTACTTACTAGCCTGCACAAGACTTCAGGTTCAATCCTCAGTACTGGAAAGGAAAGAAAACAAAAACACACACACACTGTGACTATACTAAAATTGACTGAATTGTACACTTAAGGATGGTGAAACTGGGCATGGTGGCATAGGCCTGTAATCCCAGCACTCAGGAGGCTGAAGCAGGAGGATCACCATGAGTTTGAGATCAGCCTAGGCTACATAGTGAATTCAAGCTCCGCCTGAATTACAGAGCAAGACCCTGTCTCAAAAAAACAAGAAAAAGAGCCAGGGATTTAGCTCAGTGGTGCTACACCTGCCTCACAACTGCAGGTTCATGAGTTGGATCCCCAGTACTAGGAAAAAAAAAAAAGATGGTGATGCTTATGTTATGTGAATTATATCTCAATAATAATTTTTAGGAGAGCTAGAGGCACAACTCTGGTAGAACATCTGTCTAGCATGTTCAAGGGACAGAAAAATAACAATAATTATTAGCAGGCTAATAATACCAAAACCAAACAAACAATGAAGAAAGCCTGTGAGGGACCCCAGGTGGGAAAGGGAGACTTCCCAGAGTCTAGCAGCCAGGGCAGAGGGGACCAGTGAGAGGCTAGCAGTACCCAGCCCTACCCACTGCCCAAGCACCTGCCTGCTGCCCTCAGGAGAGCCGCCTGGCCCAGCACACCATCCAGGCCCTGCAGGGCGAACTGGACAGCCTGCGAGCAGACAACATCAAGCTCTTTGAGAAGATCAAGTTCCTGCAGAACTACCCCGGCCGGGTGAGCACCCACCTTGGGTTCCCCGGGTACAGGTGGGAAGGGCTGGCAGCACCCAGAGGCCACAGGGTCAGAGGCAGGTCTGGTGGGCAGCCCTGGGCAGTGCCTGGGGGCCCCCATCCCTGCTTCTGCTCCTCGGAGTGGAGCCCCATAGAGAGTTGCTCACCAGAGTCAGCCAGGAGGTGGAAAGAGGCAGGGGCCACACCTAGGGTCACCAACCTGAGCAGCACCCCTGTGAAGAGTCCCAGGATCTAGGACCTTGACCCGCATGCTGTCCCTGGCCTCTCAGCCCCTAGCATTCCCGGTGACAAGCAGGTACATGGAAACTGTTCTGTGAATGAGGGGAGACTGTATGAGTGGTAAAGAGGGAGCTAAGATACTCAAGGCCCCAGCTTCCAGGGAGCGGGTCCCTCTGAGGCAGCCCAGCAGCCCAGCAGCCCAGCAGCCCACCATTGGAGCGGGAATGCTGTAGGCCACCAGAGGGCGCCCGGACTCTGCAAACTAGTGCTCCTCTGGTCAGCTTGATGAAGTCTCTCCCAGGTGCCTGCCTGCCCCTGCCCACAATTCTGGCTACAAAGGAGGCTGAAGCAGGAGAATCATTTGTGTCCAGGTTTCCAGGCCAGCCTGGGCAACACAGTGAGATTCCCAGCTCAAAAACAGAAACCAAAACTGACCCCACCTCAGCTTTCTTGTACCTTCCAGCACATCTAGGCCTTAGTTCCCTGGAAGTGCCCAGAGGTGAGGTGACCACGACTGGGGGGAGAACTCTGGCCCCAGGCCAATTTCCTGTGACACCAGCCACTAGCACGTCCTGGCCACCTCTCCCACCTTGGCGTTGCCAGTGAGGAAACTTTTTCCCCAGTGCTTCTGTCACCCTTGGGCGGTGGCCACCGCTCCTTGGGTAACTGAGTCTCCCCTCTCTCCTCCTCCCCTTGCACAGGGTGGCAGCAGTGACGACACCGAGCAACGATACTCCTCCCAGTATGAGGAGCGCCTGGATCCCTTCTCCTCCTTCAGCAAGCGGGTTTGTGAGCCCAGGGACCATCTGGGCTCTGGGGAGGCCCAGGCCCTGGCACCCCACCTGCCCACTTCCAATCTACCCACGTGGTGGGCAGAAGGACAGGGTGGACAGATGGCACCCTAAAGATGCACTGGTGCCAGGGAGGCCCTGAGCCCGCCCAGGTGTCAGTGTTGAGCTGAGGGCTCAGCGGGGATCAGGAGGCCCTGGGGTGCACCATGGGGATAAGCAGACAAGCACAGGTGTCCCCAAGCCCAGTGTCAGGTGACCGGCAGTGAAGAACTTTCCCACAGACGGGACAGGCAACAGATGGGGTGGGAAGACCTGAGTGTCACCCGGGGTAGGCCCTGGCCTCTGCAGGAAGAGCCCCATGCAGAGGCCCTCTGGGGTCCTTTCTTCACTGGCCCCCTCCCCACAGGAACGTCAGAGGAAGTACCTGAGCCTGAGCCCATGGGACAAGGCCACTCTCAGCATGGTGAGTTCCTGCCCCTGCGCCCCAGGAAGGCCTGAGCTTCCTTCTCTGGGACCTGGTGACCTGCCCTCCAGCCCCTTCTGGAGAAGCCACAGAGACACCCTCAGCACCTTCCCACACCCTGCCAAGAGTGACGGGGACGAGGTCGGTCCCTCCCCTCCTAACAGCCAGTCCTTCACTGCAGGTTCTGGGATAGGGCTGCAGGGGGTGCAATCCCTCAGCCATCTACAGGCAGAGTGCCCTGCCTGGCACAGGGATGTGTCACCCCCCTCTCACCTTGCCTCTCCTAGACCTCGGGCCTTGCCCCAGCTCACCCCACCCCTTTGCTCCCAGGGGCGTCTGGTTCTTTCCAACAAGATGGCACGCACCATCAGCTTCTTCTACACACTCTTCCTGCACTGCCTGGTGTTCCTGGTGAGTAGCCACCCAGGGGTGTCACCCAGCTCCCCACCCCGCCTAGCAATTTCCTCAGCCCTAGCCACAGCTCTTCCTTGCAAGGGCTTCGACCTGCCCTGGGGACAAGGTAGCTCCCCTTGGCTGGGTACAGCCCTGCCACTCTGGTGAAGAGGCGCCGCTGTCCCGGGTGCACAGGGCATCAGTCATGGGCCAAGGCCAAGCAGAGGTCTGGTGATGCCTCTGGGTCCACTGTGCTGGGGGTGGTGGCTCCGGCCATGTGCAGGCAGCTCACGGTGCCCCTGCTGTACCAGGTGCTCTACAAGCTGGCATGGAGCGAGAGCGTGGAGAGGGACTGTGCTGCCACCTGCGCCAAGAAGTGAGGACCCCCAACCCTGCAACCCCAAGCCAAGCCCCCAGCACCCCTCACAATACTACCAACCTCCCCAATATGATCCCTGCTCCTCCACCCTCATATTGGTACACCTCAGCCCCCACCTGTTACAGGGTACACCCCGTACCCTCTCTCCCACCCCCCACCCCCAACATCCTCCCTCTTTACACTCGGCTCAGCAACAGTTTCTGTGCCCCCAGGTTCGCTGATCACCTGCACAAGTTCCATGAGAACGACAACGGGGCAGCAGCTGGTGACTTGTGGCAGTGACCCGGGGGCCTCCCGGCAACAGTTATGGCTGCATTCCCCACCCCTGCTTGAGCAATTGCTTCTAATGACCTGAGCTTTCCCAGAACCCCTCCCCTCATATGGAAACTGTCCTTGTCTTCAACCCAACAACTGCCAGAGGTTCTAGGTCCCTTGGAAGAGTGAGGCCACCATATCAGCCCCCAGGTCCAGATAGCCCCCAGGCCCAGCCAGGCTGAGCCGTCACCCCCACCACAGGCTGAGGACCTGGCGAGGCTCCACCTACAGCCAGACCTCTAGCCCTGGTGGCAGAGAGCCCTGGCTGTGACACCATCGGTCACCATGGATCCCAGCAGCAGCTGGGCTTTGGGTGCCCTCACTCCCCAAAAGCAGTAGGAGACACTTCCTTCCAGGCCAGCACACTTTGTGTCCAGCCCCTCCCTTCCCTCCTACCTGCCATGGTCATCAATCCCACTCCAAGAACATGGGTTAGGCAAGACCTAGTCTGCTCACCACCACCCCTGGGTTGCTCATGGGACAGTTTCTAGCACCCTCCCAGTCCTCTGTCATATCATTTCTGCTTTCTTCTTTAGCAAGGTATTCTGGCTTCTAAATGAGGAAGCATCTCAATCCCAGGACCCTCAGTCCCAAGGATAGGCCCAAGAGCTCACCAGAACAGGCTGTGGGCCATCCTGGTGTGGGTGCCTCTCTCGGGCTGGGCAGGTGTCCCTAACTTAGGTTTGCACTTGCACATTTAGCTTTGCACACTTGGAATAAATAAACCACGGTTGCAGCCACACTGGCGTCCCGTGCTCTGTGACTCCTGAGCTCTGGGACATTGGGGGTCTGGAGGCCTGCGAACTGGGTTGGCCCTGGCACACAGGACATGTCTCTCCAGCTTCTTGTCCCAAGATTTCTGTGAGCGGGTCCAGAGCTTGGCTAAAAACCAAGCTCACACCACCTAAGCTCTTGGGCAGACATGCAACCCCACCAAAAAGGGAAACTCATTCTTTCTTCACACATCATCTGACTGCTTGTAGCCGGGGACATGACATATCTTCTCAGGTCCACGTCAGTTCCTGGGGAATCCCTGCTTCCCTTTCTGTGTCCCCCAGAGCTGTCTGTATCCTGCCCCTTTGCCAAGTGCATGCCCACCAAGGCCCCAGTGGCAGCCTTGCGTGGGGACTCCACAGGGCCACTGGTTCTGGGCTGCCTCACCCCCAGCCCAGTCCATCCTTTTGAGCTGTGACTGGCATCATCCGCTGTCCAGGTGGCCCATGAGGCCGGCAGCAAACCCCACTCAGCTCTGTAGTCCACCAGGCAAGAGTCCCCCTGCAACCTCTCTGTCTCAGGTTTTGTCCTGAATTCTCTGGAGCTAAGGCATCCAGGAGCCCTTCTTTGGTCTCCCACCACCAGCACCCCTCATCATCTGCCCCCTCAGAACTTCCTCCAGCCCTCAGGGACCCAGGATAGACCTGTCCTCCCTAACCTCAAATCCTGTCCCCCACGACAGCTGCTCTTAGCCAATCACACCCCCTCGCCACCCCCTCTCCACATCTCCCATGAGTTCCTCCTTGTGGGCCAGAGTCACTAGGCAGACGGCCCCTCCTCACTTCCTCCTCCTGGGGAATCAGAGCTATTGTCTTGCCTGGCTTCCCCATCCCACGACCCTGTCTGGTCACAAACACCCCACCAGCAAGCTCGGGGCACATCTTGGAAGCAGGTCAGTCCACTGCTGGGCAGGCTGTCCCTCTCCCAGGAGGGTGGGGTCCATGGCCAGGCAGGGTGAGGGAGTCTCTCTCTCTCTCTCTCTCTCTCTCTCTCTCTCTCTGCGCTGGCCTTCACTCCCCCACCCCACCCTCCCTGCCCAGCCTCATTCATAGGTGTCCTGCTTCCCAGGCAGGCATCCAGGCTTGTTTACTGCTGGGATCGATCGATGGCTGGACCATCATCGCCTAAGCTTTCATTAAGTGTTTGCCGGCCAGGTCCTGCGAGGGGGCAGCTGGTACCAGGGCCTCAGCCAAGGACTGGCTGGTTTCAGTACCCTCTTGGAGGGCAGTGCCGGGGTGGTGGTGTGCAGCAGGTGAAGGGTCAACTGTCGCCGGCCCACTATTCCCCTCCAGGGGCTGCCCTTTCCATCCCTAAGAACAAAGCCCCTGCCCTGCTGCTTCCTGGAAAGTCAGATGTGAAATGGCTGTGGGAGAGGTTAAAGGGCCCTGGAAAAGGTCAGAAAGCAGGTCAGTGAGGTCTGGAGGGCAGCAGATGGAGACACTCTCCGCCAGGAGGGAGCCAACAGCGATCAGAGTTACTGCCAGAGGCCCTTAGGGACTGAGGGCCTGGAGCAGAGGGCAAGGAGGGACAGGAAGGGAGAGGTGCCCAGGGAGGGCTTTCACCTTTGCGGCCCCCCTTCTTCCCGGCAGGGGTTCAGGCCCTGCTGGAAGGCCTCTCCCACCCGGGGTGGCCCACGAGCGCCTGGGCAAGCCTGCAGGGCTGATTCCTCATCTCAGTTTCTCTCTGCCTCAGCAGCGATTTCTGAAGCCAGACAGGGTGAGGAACCAGAGGTGGTTCCCCCATGAGCGCACAAGGCCTCCTAACAACTCTACGGAGAGGCACCAGTCTCCCCGCCCTGCAGAAAGTGGGGTGTGGAGATCGTGCTCGGGAGACCCCCACCCTGGGGTTCGGGGCGACTTCCCGCGCTTGGAGGGCCGGAGGGAGGGGGCGTGGTGCTTGCCCTCGGGATTTATGAGAACCAGACACAGACTTCCTCCGTTGCGACATCTGGGCCTCCTTGAAGGTCCAATTGTCCGTGCTGCGGTGGGCCCTGACACAGCGTCCGCCCTAGCCTGGCTTCATTCAAGCGGCGCCGATCCGCGCAGCCACGAGGGACACCCACCCCGCCCCACCCTC